TGTTTGTCCTTTGTTAGAATGTTGTGAGTATGTACGTGAATTGAATTGAAATAGAATACAATTGAAGATTATTTATTGTCCTCCTCTGATTTGACTGACTGACTGACCGAATGGTGGTAATAATATCTTCCATGCATATTTGTGGGTATTTGCATTGAATCATTTCTGTTGCATGTGTTGTGTTGTGTGTAGATTCACTCGATGAACCGGGATTCAGTAATCAAAATAAAATCTTATCCATCATGGAGTTATACTCTACCAGAGTGTTTTCAAGTTTTATACTTATATTTGTTATTCATCAGCCCTGATTTTATTCTGATGAAGGCAAAATCCATTAAATGAGTATTTTAAAAGATAGGAGAACAAATTGAAGAATGTATATTTTATTTAACTTCAAAACTCCACAGTATAATTAGTTTGATGTGGTTGTGTCCTCTGAGCTGGATGGATGGATAGTCAATTTGCGAAGCTTTCATCGCCCTACTAGGTAGGCGACATCTTCCTTCAGCGAATACTTCAATTCGAATTGAAGTGAGCTTTTACATTTCTCCACGAGTTCATTAATCATCTCTCCTGGTCGGTGACTACCTCGGACGTGACTGGTTGTTTTTGTGTGTTTTCGCACCTTCTAGGCGGCTACTTGTATCGATATTGGAACTAATTGTTTCTTTGACTTGAACTTTCACCCTTTGTGTGTGTGTGTGTGTGTGAGGTTTCTTTCTTATCGGTTGATGAATTTAGTCTATCTCCATGTCTATTGATTGACGATTCACTGAAATACCAGTTAGGCTTCTAAAAATTCTCTAGCATTCTTGATGTTCTTTCCTCTGTCTGTCTAATATTTGAACGTTGGTTGTCCCAGTTGAATTGATTTCTGTGGTTGTCTGTATGTAGTGAGGCGATATAAGTGAGTGAGGGAGTCGATGTCATGTCTTTTGACGCCTAGTTTATGTTCGTGGATACGAAGAGGAAGAGCAGGGGGCGTCCACTTTGGCCAATGTAGCGCTTTTCTCAGTTACAATTTATTTTGTAGATGATGTTGGTTTTATCTTCTTCTTGTTTCGTTGTTGAGTCTTTTGGTTGACATAAAGCCAGCTGAGTGAAGTGATTTAGTCGGTTTGTGTACGATGTAAGTGCCTAAAGGTTTGAAGAGTCTTGTAGTGATTTCTGAGATATCCTTCATATACTTTTTCTTTGTGCTTACCTTGTGGACTTTTGGTTTGATAGGTTGGCTTGGGGGTATATGTCTTTCGATAAAATTCCGTGGATATCCATTCTTTTGGAAGACGTCTATGAGATATTTTTCTTCAATATTCCTTAAGGTGGGAATGCTGCAATGAGTCCTTGCTGGCCCTCTTGAATAGTGTTTGTATGCAATTCCTTTTGTGTGTTATTAGATTGTTGCTGTTGTAATTCAGAATTTGGTCTTTGTGAGTTGATTTTCTATATATAAACTTGAGTTTCTAATTCCCCTGTGCTTGTTCGCTTGACTAAGCCAGTATAATTACGAAGAAATGCACCACCATTGGTTGTTGAGTAATTGCACCATTTAGTGTGCAATATGCGTTGATTTCCATTATAAAGGATCTGTCTCCTGGCCTTTGTCTTCTGTTGTTACAATATTACCTGACTGCCCAAACCCCCTTGGTAGGTAGGTAGTGGGCACATGACTGAAATATGTGACCGATTGGCTTGAAGTCAAGCACCTAGACAACCAATCCACAGCTCCATTTTGTTCCTTACAAATCATGGAGTACTGTGTGTCCCATCGGTTTTTAATCAAGGTTTCCAACTTTCTCTCTCTCCCTTGAGTAAATTTTCTTAACCATCTGCTCAATGAAGCTTCGCACTTATCGTTTCACTTTTCTAGGAACATCCATTCGGATTGTTTGGCATGCGATTCGCTCCCACCAAATGCAAGATGATCTTACACGACTGGAATACATAGACGCCTAGTTTAAAAATAGGAAGTGAAGCGGTAAGGCACGTTGACCGCTTCACTTATTTGGGAATTACCATCAGCCAGTGCCAACAGGTTGATCTCTGATGAAATATCAGTTGCGTACGGATACAGGGGGCTCGTTTCGCATTTACCAGTTTACGCCGTCTCTGGCGTAGACGAGATATCCGGCTGGCTATCGACCAAAGGGTGGGTGTACTGCTCATCAGTCCGCTCTATCCTCCTTTATGGCCAGCTGTGAGACCTGGCCACTGAGAGTGGAAGACATGAGAAGATTAGCTGTCTTTGATCATAGGTGCCTGCGTTCTGTTTCCCGTGTTAGTTGGTGGTATAATAGGGTGAGTAATATTGAGGTTAGGCGTTGGTCGAGTTCTAGGTAAACAGAGGAAATCAATCGACGAAGTTGTGAAGACCGAGGTGGTTAGGACATGTGTTACGTATGCCTAGTCATCGCCTTCCTCGACAATGGGCAATGTTAACTGATATAGGGTCAGGCTGGAAAAAAGCTGGCGGCGGTCAAACAAAAACTTGTCACCAGTCAATGAAATCCACAACAGTTGGTCTAAGCCAGCCACGTAGGAAGGTGTAGACTTCCAGGCTGGGGTCCTCGGGATGGTAAAAATCTATGGTTGGAAACAATTGGTGATATGGCTCAAAATGGTTCTCAGTGGCGCAGATGCATCCACTCCTTGTGACTTATGATCTTCAATGAAACTGTTTTGTTTTTCTTTATTACTCCTTTGTCTCACACCTCTGCTCACTGTTTCTATTATGCTTTTCTTGTACTTTCTTCTGTTGCTTTGTGTGCTACATGGAGGGAGTGTTGCAACTTGAACTGGAGCACATTTGTGCAGAGTTCTACGTCGAAAACAGACAGACAGGAACATCTATCTCTTAATGATGAGAGTTAATAGAATTAAGTTGAACCACAAGTGAACAATAATTTCTCATTAATGAAGGTAACTGAAGATGTTCGGAATTTTGAAGATGCTAAAAGCAATGAATACTTTTGCATTACTCTCTACTTAGTTTTCAATGATGTCGCTAAGAGTCTCCAACCACCAAACCTTTTAGCATTACTGAAATAACCTACATTTTCCCTATGTGTGACTCAAGCGGCTTGAGGTGGATTGATTTCATATTTTGGCGTGACCACTGCCTAATCTATTTCAACGAAATTCCACTTTTAATATATGTGTAAGACTTGGACACTGTGGTAGTAAATCCATATTAGTTCGTTTATTAAATGTATCACACACACAGTCAGTGAGTGAGTGAATGAAACAGTATTAGTATTCACTTAGTGGATGACACAGATTCGAACACAATTCACTTATTCCTGTTCATAATCATACACATCACCAATTATAATCAAACGACTTCGAAACTTGACTTTTATAGTTTTCTTTGTCCTCTCCTATTTGTCGTCGTCATTGGAGTGGTAGTAGAATTTTCCAGATATCTGGGTGGACAGGTGTTGAATCATTCCTATTACGCATATTCCCCATCTCAGTTGATTCGATAAACAAAGCTTCCGTTGTTATCAATCTCTCGCTCCCTACACCCTGTTTTATCAGTTGGATTTTAAAACTGTCATCCTATCCCATCCAGTCTATTGTATGATTGTGTGGTGTGTGATTGCATGTGATGTACTGCTAGCGATGGCTGAACTATTCTCTAGATTTCTTATCTTATTCGGGCCAACTAATCTAGATTTCGCTGCTGGGTATTTGTGCTCGGCTAGTCTAACTGACTGCCCATGTTCTACTACTTTGACATATGCATTTGACATGACAATCATTGCAGCAGACAGGGTATTAGATAAACTAAATTGTTTTGTTTTAAAGGCTTCGCCGGATTGATCCTTTAATTGACATAGGTCAAAGTAGTAGAATATGGGCAGTGAGTCAGACTAGCCGAACTCAAAAACCTAGCTGCAAAATCTAGATTGGTTGACCCGAATAAGATAACAAATCTAGAGATTAGTTCAGCTATCGCAAGTACTACATGCAGTTACACACAACCACACAATGGGCTGGGTGGGATAGAATGACAGTTTTAAAATCTAATGTTACGGCTGGGTGTAGGGAGGGACAGATTGATAACAACGGAAGCTTTGTTTAATCGAATCAATTGAAAGTGAATACGTGTAATAGGAATGATTCGACAGCTGTGCGTCGGTGGCACAATGGTTAGGACTCTCGCTGACCATGCACATGGTCCGACGTTTGATCCCCTGCCGACGAAGCACACCTGATATCTATGGTAAGCCTGCAAAATTTTGGCTACCGATAACCATGCTGAAAATTCCATACTTGTACCAAAAATACAGTGTGGAATCAAGCTGTAATCAAAAAAAATATATATAAAAAAATAAAAAATTCCTGTCCACCCAGATATCTGGAAAATTTCTACTACCACTCCAATGACGACGACAAATAGGAGAGGACAAAGAAAACTATAAAAGTCAAGTTTCGAAGTCGTTTAATTATAATTGGTGATGTGTATGATTATGAACAGCAATAAGTGGGATTGTGTTTGAATCTGTGTCATCCACTAAGTGAATACTAATACTGTTTCACTCACTCACTGACTGTGTGTGTGATACATTTAATAAACAAACTAATATGGAACTCTACTTTTGTTTGAATCACTTTTGCATGTGAAGACCATTGATTAGTCACAGCAAAAAAACTCCTGTGCTCATTCATCTCAGACGTGCTTACCTTCTGTGCCTAACATTTTTATACTGGATTCCAGCAGCATACTAACCAAGTTGCTTCTTATCATCGAACGGAAGTCAATGAGCGACAACAGGCATTATCCAAAACCCTAAATATATTGCAGCAACATTTACATTTACCCATTGACCATGCACACATAGTTATAGAAAGATCATATTCCGGTATTGTCGAGGTATATATTCGATAGAATGTCACTCAGGCTTATGGTTAGAGTTTATTGTTATTGTTTTTTTTCTTTCCAGTTTTGCGTAACATATAGTTCTCTTTTCTAATTCTGTTTTTCTTCGACTCTTCAGCCCAAATCGTCCTGAACATCGTCGATCAATGAGCGTTTCTCAAAATTTATCTATGGGTAAGCTGATTGTTTATAAATAATACCTGGCCTGTTTTTTGTTGTTGTTGTCAGTCAACAAAGATGTGTGTTGTGTGTTTTCATACCGCTCTGTAGTGTAGCCGGAGTAGCAACATATTTTCAGTGTATACAAATTTGGGGATTGTTTAAACTAAATGTGAAGGAAATTGTGGCTTTGGAGAAAGATTTTATTGGATGGAGGATTTCATAATAAGCTGACATCGGTTAGAGAACTACTGGAAAACCTGGGAGTACTGGACAATTGTTTCCCTCGTCCTAGTTTGGGACCGGCTATTCAGCATTAAGTACCCTAACCCACCCCATTGACAGGGTTCAAATCCAGGACCTTTTGGTTACAAGGCTAGCGAGCTCGTAGATCATTGAGCAGCCACTAGGACCACCCGATCCAATGGCCAATTCACGTGCAACATAGCGCGACCATTTCGCACTGCCTTCAACTGAAGAGTTCTAAACTAGGACGAAACAACTGGCTGTCCAGTAATCCCAGGTTTTCCAAAAGCTCTGTAACTGATGTCAGCTCATGATGAATGAAATCCTCCATCCAATCAAACAAAATCGCTATAAAACCAATGTTTGAAAGATTTTTTAATTTTAGGGGATACATATATTTCACGATGAGTGGAAAATCCTCGCCAAGTTTACCAACCGGTTCTAAGCCTGGTAAAAAGAGGCAAGGTCGGGTGTGTGGCTAGCGAAACAACCTTCGAAAGTCAAGCCAAATCCTACAGAAACTCCGAAACTCAGAAAAATAAACTTAATATATTCACTGGAGTCAAGACCACCCTAATTCAAGAACCGATTAACGCTTGCAGAGAAAAAAAACTGTCCGAAAGGCAGTTGGTTTGTGTATCTTCTTTCATTGTAATTCAAAGATTCATTGACCACTCCTCCTTTTTCTTCTTCTTGACGTGGAGAATTCTGGACCGTTGGATTTGCTTGTATTGGAGAAGACAGAGTTTTACTGGTGGCAGGAGGACTGCTTAGCGTATTTTCATTACTGTTCAAGGATTCTGATTCTAGATGACTGGTGTTACTGGCAGGAACAGCAGAAGACTCGGCATTGTATACATTGAAGGTTTTGTTAACAGTTGTAGTATCGTTTGTAACTGGAGCAGGTACATTCGCTTCTGGTTTCATCGCGGGAAATAGAATCACCTCTTTGATATTATTGGTATTTGTCAGAAACATAGTTAGCCTGTCCACACCAATACCACAACCGGCAGTCGGTGGGAGGCCATAGCTGATCGCAGTGAGAAACTGTTCATCTGTGACCATGGCTTCAGCATCACCAGCAGCTTTGTCCTAGGATTGATCGATCAAGGAAGAAAGGATGGAAGGAAATAAGTAAACAAATCAAAGAAGAATTGAAAAAACATTTATTTCCCGAAACGAATTTCAAACAAGCAACAAAGCAGGATGGCTTAAATGATGGATTTATCAAATTTCGGTAGAACTCGCCGATCCTCGACACATTAAACTACGTATATCAATTTGACGAGTGTGTGTTTATGGAAGCAAATACGCATAGGTCGTACAGAAATGCGATTGTCTACCCGTCGCATGATAGAGCATTTGCCAAAATGATTGAAAACATCTGAATGAGCAAAGTGCCAAAATAGACCTCAATAACAATAACAAAACATCTTGTGGACTATGGATATGATATCGACGCGGTGTCAAGTCATTCACCATTGTCAGCAGACAGACAAAGAAACAGGAAGATGCTTGCAATTCCGGAGGAGGTTTGTGCAATTCGAGTGTATAAATCAGGTCTCTGTGTACAAAAGGAGATGGTCGTGACTCTGAATCTACCATGGTGATACGTTCTACTTATTATTCTACCTCTAATTATTATTATTGTTCTTGGTTCATTTAGAACTATGCTTCATCAGCAAGATTATCTTAACTCACTTCATTACTATTATTATTTTTATTATAACTATTATTATTGATATTAGTCTATTTGCAATTCTCGTTATATTCCCTAATGACTAATTGTTTATCTAAGTGGTGTGTAATTGAAGCGTAATGCAATTTATCTTAATTTTGATCTCTCATACTCTCTCTCCCCTCATCTATCTGAACATGATCTGGAAAACATTCGTACGTGTCTTTCTGCATGACTAATTCAATGTAGTTTGTTTACTTATCAGTCTTATATCTCCCAATGTAACTTCAAAAGTCTGTCTGTCTGGATTCAACATAGAGCTTGGCACCTAAGTGCAGCAGTTCGAGTTGCCAAGTTCCAAATATCACACAGAGGTAGACAAGAAGATGAGTGAAGAGAATCAATACAGTCTGACAGGTATAAGAGTGAAACAGAATGGGTAATGGTAGAAAGGAGGAATATGAAAGATTACAGAGACTGAATACATGTGCGCTGGCCATTGACAAAGATCACTTTGAGCCATGTCACCTATTGTCTCCAGCCATTGATTCCTAGAGTCCCGAGGCCCCCAACCCGGAAGTCTGCATCTCCCCATCTACCTGACTCAGTTTAACTGTCAAGGATTTCATGGATTGATGAGGCCATGTTTTGTTTGACCACCACTGGCTCTTTTCCAACCTGCACCTATATCAGCTAGTAATGCCCGTCAGGTGGGGGAGGCGATGGTCAGGCATGCGCAGCACGTGACCTAGCCATCTCAATCTATGTAACTTTATAGCCTCGTCGATTGATTTCCCCTGTTTGCCCAACACTCCACGCCTAACGTCAACATTAATTACCTTGTGAAACCACCTAACGTGAGACAGAGATCGCAGACATCTATGATCGAAAGCAGTCAACCTTTTCATGTCTTCAACGCGTATTGGCCATGTTTCAGAGCCATAGAGAAGGACGGAGCGAACTGATGAGCAGTACACACATCCCAGGGTTGATAGCCAGCTGGATGTCACGCCTACGCCAGAGATGGTGTAAGTCAGCGAAAGCAGCTCGAGCTTTTCTTCAAAAGTATATATATATATATATATATATATATATATATATATATATATATATATAAATATATATATATCCGTGTATATAGAGTACGTACTGAGCAGCTGATGAGTTCTACCGAAATTTGATGAATCTATCATTAAATCATCCTGCTTCATTAACCATCTTTATTGCTTGTTTTTAAAATTCCTATCAGGAAATAAATGTTTGTTGCGATTTTCAAAGGACCATCAGTTTCAACACCACACGGATTTTCCTTCAATTTCTTCCAACTTTAAAGCCTTATTCATTTGAGCCAATCACAGAGAAGATGATGATATAAATCAATAGTCATGTGGGTTAACTAATCAGCTACAAGTAAACAAATGCTGATTAAAATCTACTTCGTGTGGCAGGAGAATCTGAAAAGCAAGGCAGGCTTTCATTACTCTTCAGTCTGTGTGGAAGTCAACATCACTCAGCATCAAAAACAAGGTCCGGATTTTCAACTCCAATGTAAAGTCTGTGCTACTCACTCACTATACGGGTCAGAGACTTGGCGATTCATAAAGAGCATCTCAAACAAACTTCAGACCTTCAACAACAGTTGTCTTCGCTCAACACCACTCAAGATCAGATGGCTGGCCGGCCAGGAAAGATCAGCAACAGGGAAGGATCTCTGACAATGAGCGAACCAACACAACAGGAACCGATTGTGAAACAAATAGGCAAGAAGAAATGGAGATGGATTGGCGGCTATACTCTGAGGAAACCATCAAGTGACTGGGATCACTAGACAAGCCATTGCTCGAGTGGAACCCGGCCGAAAGGGAAGCGGGCAGTGAGTTGGTCGACAGTGCAAGGGTGACTTGGAGGAGGTCATGTGAGGAGGAGGAGATGAAAGCATGTGGGCAGACTTGGAGCGGGGTGAAAAAGTGTGGCAGAAAACAGTAGGCAATGGATATGCGTAGCTGAAGCCCTATGTTCCTCTAGGAACTAAAGGATAAAATAATAATACTGATAATCGTGTGGCAGGGAACTAAGAGAAGTTCTAGGTAGGTTGTAATCTGAATATGGCATTAATATAGAAGACAAATTTCGCCGCGAGATGATATCGTCTTTTCGTAGTTTCCGCTTTACAATCACTTTACACAACTAACTTTATTTTATTTTAGTGTTATTGTTAACAAAGTTCACATGACAATTACTCAGTTAAATAAAAACCAAAAGTACATACTATGCTAATGACCAATCATCATATTTAATTAAATAGGTCAAGTAGTCAGTCCATGGTAGGCGAAGATTGAAGTCTATTGATTTTTGTATACACAGTGTAGGCTGTATGTGATTAATCCCCCAAAAGTCTGCTTCCATCACCTTCAATAACCATCCAACCTTGAATTAGACTTATGTGATGAAATAATTGTGAAACAGTCATTAATTAATATTGATTTTATGACTTGACATGCAGTTGACAGCTAGTTCAACGAACTTCGGTCAGTCATTAAACGCACATTCTACGCCGCCTCATCAGTTTTTTTCTCACCTGCCGAACATTTTCCATCCCTGTGCCTTTCGACTGAGGGATATAATGTGTCTGCATATTATGTTTGAAAGCTAGCTACCTAGCTAGCTTGCTTGAACGGTCGGTCAAATTTCCCAAGAAATCCGAAGGTATGGTGTACAAATGCTATGAAGCTCTGACTGACGGCAGATGGAATGGAAGTGTGTGTGTACCCTCGAGATATTGTTAATTGCAGAGTCAGTCAGTAAGTAAGTACTGCGGTCATCCAGACGATAAACACACGTGGGCACTGAATTGAATATGTGCTTGTTATTCTGATTTGTCACCAACAGCCTCCAAAGCTCTCATGCAGTGACGATGGCGGTGGGGGGAGGGGGAACCAAAATCCTCCTGGATTATTAGGACAGTAAGATTCAACTCGAAAAAAAACTGAAAAGTTATCGAATGCCACACACACACACACACACACACACAAACAGCGCAGACTCAGAGGAAAAGGATATGAACACTACATAGAGACAATTGCTGCTAGCAGTAGAGAGCTGTACAGTACTCCAGTCGGATGGTACATATGAAAATTCTAGTGGGCGATATGAATGCGAAACAAGGAGCGCGCGCACACACACATACGCAACACTCATCATGAGTGAAGAGGTGCTTGATGAAATTGTGATGATAGCTGTCTGCTAGCTAGCCAAAATTGGTAGACAGCAATTTACGTCAATGTTAATGTCCCAAATATTGGTCATGAGAAAACAAGAACAAAGACTGACTGACTCAACAACCAATCACAACACACTGTTTGCGTTGACGGATGCAATTAGCAGATAGCAGATAGATGAACTGACCTTCAAGAAACTGCCACAAAGAGAAACAACCAATATCAGACGACTGTGTTTGTCTCCTAACAATAATCTATAGTAATAATGTGCATGAAAATCGATAAATATGTGTTGATTTCGTAAATAAACGATCTGTTGACTGACCCTTGTCTTCTGTTGTTACACAACTAATCTAGTACCGTGGTTGGACCTCATTACGTTTGACCAGTCACATATCATGTATAACTCATTGGCAAGTGTATTACCACGTATATGCGGTTGTTAAGTAACCTGTGCAAAGAAAGTGTTGAGTATCCTCCGTTGGTCATTGTGTTAGTCATCTGCCATTCTTCATTTTTTGAAAAAATCCCTATTTAGACATTTAGAAAACAGAAAGATTGAGCTGAGCTAAGAAATATTTACTTTTCAATTAGATCCCCCTCATCTCATCTCATTCTCTGGCTCTACTCTACTCTAATATACACGTACATGTAGCATTTTTATTACAATACACAACTAACAATTTACCAATCAGGTAGTGGCACTGATTAATAATTAATATGACCCGTTGAACAAGAGGTGGCTCTCGTGGCCCAAGTGGTCTAGTGGATAACGCTTTGGCGTTTGAAACTATGAGTACTGGGTTCGAACCTCGGTGAGAACATCATCACTCACTGAGAAATGCAGGTACATCCAGCTGACGAGTCCCAAATAGGACGAAATGCGCTTTATCCTGGATTCCACTGCTAGCCACCATCCACCAATTGTATACAAATCAAATCCCCAGACATCGTCGAATCATCTGCACAAGAAGCCGACATGTCAACCTGAGACCGAGCACTTCGGTCCAATCAATCGACGGGAAAATCAAAAATTCAATTCTGTGGCACTGATATGTTTGTTTGTTTGTTGCATGGAGGATTTAATCATTAGCTGACATCAGTTAGAGAACCACTGGAAAACCTGGGAGTACTGGACAGCCGTTTCGTCCTAGCTTGGGACTCCTCAATAATTAGTCAGTCAGTGTCAACATGTCAACCAGTGGAGTGATGATAATTAAGGAAGAAGATTAGCATACACACACACAATCAGAAAGGTAGAAATGGTTATATGCAACACGTGGATTGCATAATGCATAATTTTGGAACATAAGTGAAGAGTAATTAAGGAATAAGCGTGTGCACAGGTTGATTACGTAACAGATTGTTAAACGAAAGCAAAACGATTTGGACAATGATAATTTGTAACTAACTAAGGATGAAGTGGTCGTAAGAATAAAATAATTTTTACAAGGATAAGACGTAATTAAAGATGAAGTAGTCAGAAAAAATAATAAAGTAATTTGGACAAGTATAATTATGATAATTTTATATAGGTTTAGGGGGAGGAGGGCGAAGTAGTCCAGCTTATACACTCGTGTAACGATGGCCAAGGAAGGTAAGGAAAGTGGCTGTACAAATTTCTTCTGAACACACATACAGGTTTGGCTTCTTCTTCAGGTGGATTCCTATTGCTTCAGCTGTCGTATGTAGAAGACGAATTCGTAGAGCAAAATTAAGATTAGTCGGAATGCGATAAATAATTTTATATGCAGTATTAACGTCAACCTTATGCTCACTAGGTGTCTACAAGGTGTGCTAAAATAGAGCTAGCTACGAATAGATCTTGTATGTCCCTTGCTTAACTGTGGTATGCAGGACGATGTTTGGAAATACGATGATGAACCTGCCTTATTGTACGCCCCCCGATGTAGCTAGCTGGTTCCGCAGCTGCAGTCAAACTGGTAGGTACACATAGAGGAGGCGGCGGCAAATTTAGGTAGTTTATCCTTATTTCTCGAACGTCGTAAAATAGGGGTGGTTGTGAAGAGACAACGTACCGTCTCTGCTGCATAATAAGCTCTTTTAACTGCATTCTTCAAGTGCTTGCTGTGTTATTATTTCGCTGATGTTGTCATTGAGGAATCAACCTGTGCACACGCTTATTCCTTAATTACTCTTCACTTATGTTCCAAAATTATGCATTATGCAATCCACGTGTTGCATATAACCATTTCTACCTTTCTGATTGTGTGTGTGTGTATGCTAATCTTCTTCCTTAATTATCACACCACTGCTTGACATGTTGACACTGACTGACTAATTATTGTTAACAAACAAACAAACATATCAGTGCCACTACCTGATTGGTAAATTGTTTGTTGTGTATTGTAATAAAAATGCTACATGTACGTGTATATTAGAGTAGAGTAGAGCCACAGAGAGTGAGATGAGATGACGGGGGGATCTAATTGAAAAGAGTAAATATTTCCTCGCTCAGCTCAATCTTTCGGCATTCTACATTTTTTACAATTTCAACTGGTTATTTCTATGTCAAGGTTTTGTTAAAAAGTCCACCCCTCATAACGTCATTTTTTCCACGAAAAAAATAAAATATTCGATTTTTTTAACTATCAATAAGACGGTGCGTTGGTGATATAGCGGTTAGCACGCTCGCCGACCATGCATATGGTCCGGGGTTCGATCCCCGGCCGGCGACGCACTCCTTTACCTCACTGAGCCAGAAATAATGCTGGTAAAGAGGAAAGGTTGGGCATGAGGCTAGCAACCCATCCTGTAAAAATTAAACACTGCTACAGAAACCTCAAGCCACTAACTTGGAGCCCTATGTTCCACTGGGAACGTGAAGGAAAAATTATTATTATTATCAATAAGACTCTTTTCACGTTTTTACTTTACTTTATTTCTAAAGGTTTAAAAAACCACACCATTGACGATGACTTAACATTCGCTTATCATCATCTTGCCAAAGTGAGTTGCGACTGTTGTTATTCTGTCAATTCCAGCTTTAATATTTATTCCTTTGTGTGTTAAATTTCAACAACTAAGAAGTGTAGTAGTTTTTTTTGAGTTTTAACCTTGTAGTCGTTTTTTATTTTGCTATGCAAAAATGAGGTCTGGTAAGACTGTGGTGTTTTACAGTGACGACTGTGCCTTGAACCACTTGTAAGTACATAATTCCTAGGTTGTACTAATTATTAGTTTATTTAAAACAATTAGTTCCCTTTTTCATGAATTTAGATAAAGCAATAAGAAGACGTAATTTGTCTGTCTGAATTGTGTGTGTGTGTAATGTGCATATTTGCGCTCAACACATATTTCGAACAGTCTGATCCATCACACACACACACACACACGGACTTGTCATAGGAGTACATATACACGAAATTAACAAAGAGTGAGTTAAGAGGTGGGTGAGAAAATAGACTTGACTACTTAGGTCAAGTTAAAAGGAGGATATACTGAAGGTCCAAATAACAATGAAGATCAATCACCCAACCAAATAGCAGAGATAATAGTACATCTTCCTTGACTGGTGGCGATCGAAACAAAATTTACCAGCAAGGAAGGTAGGTTTAGTCAGTTTGATGACGAATTGCTGATTTGAACGCATAAAGGTGGTTTCAAAACTTCCTAATTGCCAGCTAGGGCTAGCTTCCACAAACTTTAAGATGCGCCCTCACTCAAACACGCTTTTATAGATAGGCGTTTAAAAGATGTGTTAGTTAACGTCAATTTTATGTCCTGTCTCCTCTGTAATATGTTTCGCTATAGAGGAGCTAGCTAGGTCTTTGTGTCTTCTCACCATTAATGGGTTCTGAAGATTCAATTTGTTTCTGGAGCCATTTAGGAATATGCTCTGAAACTAGCCAGCCCTTACTTGCAGAGATCGATGAGTCCTCCCTATACATGTATGTGTGTCCACACGTTCATTCAAATCGGTAAACATAGTGGGATGTGACGTCATTTTTCTCATGTTCAAAGGGCTTGGGTGGGTGGATGGATATATTGGCTTCACTTTCTCAATTATTGTGATAGTAGCTGCATACAAAGTCTTTTAAACCACAACGGCGTTCAGTCATTGTCTAGTTATCAAGCTGCTACGATCCCCCACCCATATAGGTTAGGTAGTTTGATGTACACGTCTTTCTTAGGAGTGATTTGTAGAGTGAGTGGGTCTTGGTGTTCCACTGACTACTTTATAATATCTCCTGATGAACTTGTCTGGATAACTGTTATCAACCAGAGCAGAGTTGTGTCGACTTTCTTTCTTCCTCATCATCAAGTGTGTCTGTCTTCAATGCATATTCGCTGGATGCTACTGAAGAGGCACTCAGCTCACTCACTAAGGCTCTTTTATACCGAACGGGGCAGAAACCGTGGTAATTAAGATACTGTGCTGTCCAGGTAGGTAGATTTTCGTTCTATAAATAGATCATCGTTTTACTGACCCATCAAGTCATCAGTTGACTAATCAATATGTCGTCTAGGAAAGATAAACAATTCTTTTCCTCTTCTAAAGACAGATGTAAATGATATGCTTGCTATTTCGAACTTCATTTATTTGATTGTCAAATTGAGATGGGAGAACAAGGCGCTTATCACTCACTGATGATGACAATATCATCTACATACCTTCTATAAAGTGGCACATTTTCAATGAAATCCTCGAATAAATTCTCAATGTACGACATATAGATATCTTCACATAGTAGCACCATCAGCTTGACGGAAACATTCGCCCTAAATGTAAACCCAACCTTTTCTGTCTCTTAAACTATTTTTTTTCTAATTTTTTTTTGTAGAAATTTTCCGATGTGAAACAACTGTTGAATGTTCGTGAAGCAAAAATTATGCAGCTTAGTCATGAGAACAATGTGTTACAGAATTCGGTCAATACACTACAAGAGTACGTCGCGATTGCATTTCTCTTCTTCTTTTACATATATTTGTTTGTATGTGTGTTTTAAACAAATTTGTTATCTTCAAATATTGATTCACGGGAATTTTATTAATTTCGTGTTAAATTTCATTACGTTATCAATTAGAGGGCGATTAAGAACAAGGGAGGAGTGACTTAGAGATTCAGAGTACTGAACTAGGCCAAAACCCGCGTCCAATACTGTCTAGTTTACAGTGATCACCCAACTGATGTCGTAATGAAATCTTACTTGAAACTGTTCTATGCAGTCCTCTTCAACTGGCCGCATGACTACTGATAGGTTTTCATTTTCTCCTCATACCCTTCTCCTCCGTTTCATCTTTAGACATTTGGATTCCAGTCGACGTTTTCTCTGGCATTTTGATGTTACCTAACAGTCTCTTCATCGTGTGTCCGATCTATCTGGGTTTTATTCATAATATTTGTTGAGTTATTTTGAATGGTTCATTTATAGAGTTACCTAATGCTAATTATTTTTGTTAAGTCATCTAATCTTCATCATGGAGCCAGTGAAGGCTCTGATCGACATAAAAGAAATCACTGACTTTACATTTGTGTTGAAAATCCGAAATTTGTTGCTTGTGCTGCTGAATGGAGAAGATTTCCAAATTGATTTCAGGGGGACGAATGCCTGTCCTGCCTTTCTAATTATATCTGGTTTTGATATCATCTGTGTAGTCATCAGTAGTGGAGACGACGCTTCCTAGAAGGAAGTGGTCTATTTTTTCAAATTTATTCTGTTGATACAGTTAGCTTTTATATCTTCAACTACTGATTTATTGATTATGTGAACTTACCTGGCAGTCACGCTACACACCGTGACTTCGGTGGCACAGTGGTTAGGACTGTCGCCGACCATACACATGGTCCGAGGTTCTATCCCCTGCCGACGAAGCACACCTGATATCTATGGTCGGCCTGTAAAAAAATTTGGGCTACCGATATTCATGCTGAAAATTCCATACTTGTACCAAAAATATACAGTGTGGAATCAAGCTGTAATAAAATAAAATATATTTACATATTTTACACACAGTAATAAGTTTTGTTATTGGTGGTGATATTTAGAGGAAAATTACTGCCCGTGTGTGTTTTCTCACAACTGTTGAAATCGCCTTGTTTTAATGTGCACGTTTATGATTTGTACGACTAAAAACCACTAAACTAGAGGAAGAGGATGCAATACCAGTCAGCTTTGACGGCAACAGTCTGTCTCTACACTGAAACACCCATTCAAATGGGACTGATGAATCCACTGAAGACGAGGAGACTAAAACAAGATAATGAATGACCTAAAAAAGACAGAACACAGTTAGTTATCCGTAGAAGAGATTACAATAAAACAGGGTGGAATTCTGTCTGATAGACAACAACAACATATTTCACATTTGAATGAAGGAGTAGCTGTGGGATCGTTCATCTCACCAATAATACCTGACAACATATTCATGGATTTTTCGGAAGAGAATGCACTTAAACCATTCAGGTCATCACTAAAATGTTGGTGGAGATATGTAGACGACACGTTAGTAATAATGAAAAAGAACCATGTTGAGAAATTCTTCTCGTACATAAACAGGAATGTCGACTCAATAAAATTCAGTAAATGAAAATTGCCCATATTGAAATCAAAACAAGATTTTGAGCGAACACAGTTGTGGTTTCGATAACTTCTTCTTCTTCAGGCTCTACAGTTATAAATCCATGAATAATGGAGTACATATAGCCAGCCAATAAAGGCAAATGAAAATAATATCAGAAACTGTATTGGGGTGCATGTGTAAGTTTAGGTGATAGTCATAACGGGTTTTGATTTTCTCCTACATGTTGCAATGGGAATTCCATGAGATGGGCAGTCGCATAGTACTTATATCAACCAGTGGTACTTGCTGATCAAATCGAGGCACTGTAATCACCGGATGGTTGTTTTGCTGGTATACAGCCCAGCTCAGCACCAGGGTACAAATTAGTTTGCAATTTTTACAAAAGTCGAGGTATAGTTTTACACCATTATGCTGTATCACACAGTTAAACAGTATTATTTACTGGATGACGTTTCGAACGTACAATTCTTAGCAAGCGGGGGAGGGAAGGAATAAAAATGGCTGACATTCAAACTGTCTGTCTGTCTGTTTTCGACATAGAACTTTGCACAAATGTGCGGAAGTTCAAGTCGCCACATTCCGTGTAGCACGCGAAGCAAGAGAAGAAAGTACAAGAAAAGCATAATAGAAACAGTGAGCAGAGGTGTGAGACAAAGGAGTAATAAAGAAATACAAAACAGTTTCATTGGAGATCATAAGTCACAGGGAGTGGATGCATCTGCGCCACTGAGAACGATGAGTTTGAGCCATGTCACCAATTGTTTCCAACCATAGATTTTTACCGTCCCGAGGACCCCAGCCTGGAAGTCTACACCTTCCTACGTGGCTTAGACCAACTGTTGTGGATTTCATTGACTGATGCCAAGTTTTTGTTTGACCGCCGCTAGCTTTTTTCCAGCCTGACCCTATATCCGCTAACATTGCTCGTCGAGGGAGGCGATGGCTTGGCATACGTAACACATGTCCTAACCATCTCAGTCTTTGTAGCTTCACGACTTCGTCGATTGATTTCCCCTGTTTACCTAGAACTCTACGCCTAACCTCCATGTTGCTCACCTTATTATGCCACTTTACACGGGAAATAGAGCGCAGGCACCAATGATCAAAGACAGCTAGTCTTTTCATGTCTTCCACTCTGAGTGGCATTCAAACCCTTCCCACAGACTCAATTAGTAACAAGCTTTGTCGGTTAAAGGATCAATCAGTCCTTGATATATATCCATATAATATGTGTGTTTTGTTTGACAGCCTGTCCTTGGTGATATATATCCATATAATATGTGTGTTTGTTTGACGGTCTGTATATTAGCTATGTATATATGGATCGATATTCCATTATAATTAGCCAATCATGTTAAGACTGTCTATTGATTTGTTCATTTTGAATATTCGCTCACACACTTGTTCGGACATTCCTATATTTTGCTCTCACACACTTGTGTGACATTGATTCTCCTGGTGTTTTGGAAAATAGAAGTATCATCGCAAACCTAGTGGTCTTCTGATTTCCGTCTTTCTTGCGTCAGGACTATTAAATTCTCGACCAGTACATAACAGTCCTGTGGAGCCTTTAAAACAAAATTTATTTTATCTAATACCCTGGCTGATGGAATGATTGTCAGGTCAAATACATAGGTCAAACCCGTAGAACAGGGGCAGGCAGCCAGACTAGCCGAGCAGATAAACCTACCAAAATCTAGATTGGTTGACCCGAATAAGATAAGAAATATGGAGAATAGTTCAGCTATCGCAAGTACTACATGCAATTACACACAACCATACAATGTAGGATGATAGGATAGGACGACAGTTTTAAAATCTAATGTCACAGCAGGGTGTAGGGAGGGAGAGATTGATAACAACGGAAGCTTTGTTTATCGAATCAACTCAAACATGGGAATACGTGTGATAGGAATGATTCAACACCTGTCAACCCAGATGTCTGAAAAATTTCACTACCACAATGACGACGACAAATAGGAGAGAACAAAGAAAACTATAAAAATCAAGTTTCGAAATCGTGTAACTATAATTGATGAAATGATTATGAACAGCAATAATGAGTTGTGTTCGAAAGTGTGTCATCCAGTAAATACTAATACTGTTTCACTCACTCACTGACTGTGTGATACATCTAAGAAAAAAACTAATAAGGAATTACTTACTACTACAATGCGCCCAAGTTTTACACATATATATTAATTACGTAGTTATGCTTGGTTGCTCGACTACTACTTGCCAGTATCAAATAAATCACATGCTGTGAACTGAATAACTTCGATTTGCTCTACAGAAACTGTAGTGTAAGGAGCACAGCTAATTAGCTGTCATTTTGAATTTGATAGTGTATAAGCACTATTCGAAGCATTTTCCTAGGAATCACTGAAGTGCTGTCTAGGATTGCTTAACTTCTTCACTCAGTATTTCGTCTTCCGCCAAAACACTTCATCAATGCACACCAGTGGCACAAAAGAGGAATCGAACCCCGGATCTTCAGTTAATTAGGTCAAGCTTGTTATCCATTGAGCCACTTGGTCCGGACTTTTGTGACCTAGGAATTTTAATTTCTCTCAGTAGGTGATATACCACTAACCACTTCGACATTTAGCTTAGGCGTTTTTGTAGGATTCATACTGCTGAGGAGTCCCAAACTAGGACAAAATAAATGTCCTACACTTGTTTTCTATGCTTTGTTGTGATGCTTTGCTGTAATCAAAATAAATAAATAATAAAATATTGTCATCTGATATATTCTCGCTTGCTCAGAGATGGTCTTTTTTTCACTAGTGTGTTTTATTTTTGTACACTGGAACCAATTGTCCTTGTTTAGAGTGAGTGTATATGCTTAGCGCTGATATCCGGTACTCAATCAAACGGCGTGTCTGCACACTGCTCAGTAGTAGTTCTCTCTGTCATTCTTTATGGCTGGCAGTGTTCCAGGGTAATATATGTCTTAAACTTGGCCACTGTGGTGGTAGTAAGTAATTCCATATTAGTTTGTTTATTAGATGTATCACACACACAGTCAGTCAGTGAGTGAGTGAAACAGTATTAGTATTACTCACTGGATGACAAAGTTTCGAACACAATTCACTTATTCCTGTTCATAATCATACACATCACCAATTATAATCACACGACTTCGAAACTTGACTTTTATAGTTTTCTTTGTCTTCTCCTATTTGTCGTCGTCATTGGAGTGGTAGTAGAAATTTTCCAGATATCTGGGTGGACAGGAATTTTTTATTTTTTTATATATATTTTTTTTGATTACAGCTTGATTCCACACTGTATTTTTGGTACAAGTATGGAATTTTCAGCATGGTTATCGGTAGCCAAAATTTTGCAGGCTTACCATAGATA